GTCTGGGGAATGACAGTCAGGGGAGGGCAGGGTGCTGATAGGAAGACTACTCTCACAGCCATCTCAGTAGAACTATTTGAATGTTAAGCTACCTGTATATGTTTTTTTTAATAAAAATAAACATTTTAAAAGATTAAGTAAACCACTGAAGACCTTTACAAAAGAGTGTTCCTGGTCCCTTTAGCCAGAGGACTTTCTATGGTATTATGTGAGAAGCCAGAACCATAGTGTGCTGAAGAATAAATGAGACACGAAGTAGCGAAAGGAGACTGGTTTTCAACAAGCCATGCTGATAACTGACTTGAGAAGGGACAGAGAGGACAAAAGGATCAAAGAAGGTTCTTGAAGGTGGCAGTGCTTTTGTGATGGTGCTTCTACTGGCAGTGGCCTCCTCAGGGACTGCTTGCCAAGAAACTCCTTAAAACTATCAGATTAGCTAGATTCCTGTACTTGCCCCTGATTGTTCTTTTTTTGGCCTCACCCATTGTCTGCTCCAACTTCTTTCCAAGTGAGCATTCATGATGTATCCTAGGGAACAATTCCACAAGAGCAGCCCTTTTAGCAAGAATAACTCTTGTATCTCTGTTAAATGTGGTGGGCAGAAAAGAACTTTCTGAGCCATCACTTAGATGAAGGGTAATAAGTTGAGCTCATCAGATACAGGGCAGGGAGCAGCTGAGTTAGGGCACCTCCTTAGGGTCAGGTTCCACATGATGTTCACATACAAAAGAAAGCAGAGAAAATAACACATGTAGCATCTGACTTTCTACAATAGAAATCTTCAAAATCAAGAGGCTTAAAAGAAAATGAAGCCAATTTGCCCAAGTACTCATCAAATACCTACCAAGGCTTATGATGTTATGATGGTCAGACACTTCCTTGAGCAAACAAAGTTTTCTGGCTTCCTCTGCAACTAAAACTAATGAACACCTCCCAAGTGATCCATCTGTGTGTTCCAGAGGTAAACCAGAAGAGACAACTTAGCGAAAGTCAAGGTCAAGGCGCCACTCCACCGTGAGAGGCAAGTGGAGAAAGATCTCAGCAGGTTGTGTTCGACACAGAAGCAGAACACAAGGAGCCATGCAAGTCTTCCCAGATATTCCAGGCTTTAAATGTTGCATCCTATTCTGTTCATCAAGCAACCTTTATAGCCTA